TTTTTTTTAGTTTATCAAAACCGTTGTTTGACAATAAATATTTGTTTTTCTTTTTCCTATTTTTAGTATAAATCTACACGTTTATCTCTTCTGTTACAAAATCCCATTGCATACGTCTCCCGTGTTTAAAAAATTTCATCCCTTATCTATACAGATTTAAAAAAAAAAAATAGAAACCAATTCATAGTTAGTACTAGAAATCCATTATCTTTAAAAAGAAAAAATAAAATAAAATAGAAACCAATTCATAATTACTACTGAAAATCCATTATCTACTTTAAGAAGCTATTTTTTATCGGTCTAATTACTAATATTTTTACAAATATTATAAGCTAACCATACAAAAAAGTATAAGAATAATTTTGAAATGGTGTGTAATCAAATTTTTTTATATTATCTTATACACAATAATTTTACATTGTTTGATCCCGAATCTTTAATTTATAATTATTAAATATTGTTTATCTTCCTCTTTAATTTATAATTATTTTTTTTGCTTTCTCTTTTTAAATAGGATCAATAGTAGTTTCCACTTCGGTCATTGAGTGACTCAAACTCGAGGTCTATTTATAATTTTGATAATTTAATATTGTTTCCGTGCATCGCACGGGGTATACACTAGTATATATATATATATATATATATATATATATAGAGAGAGAGAGAGAGAGAGAGAGAGATTCTTTTTATTAACATCCCTCATAAATAGGGAATCTCCATCACCGAAATAATGACATTTAACTGTTGGCTATGTGGAAGTGTTCATTTAATAAAAATATGTTCAGCATTTAATAATAATATGTAATTTTCAATTACACAATTTAATTTGACATGTCCCATTTTGATGGTGCCCATTTCTGTAACGCTTTTGTATTTCTAGAGAGAGAGAGAGATTCTTTTTATTAACAAACCTCATAAATAGGGAATCTCCATCACCGAAACAATGACATTTAACTGTTGGCTATGTTGAAGTGTTCATTTAATAATAATAATATGTATTGTAATTTTCAGCTACACAATTTAATTTGACATGTCCAATTTTGATGGTGCCCATTTCTGTAACGCTTTTGTATTTCCTGAAATACAAAATATTTTTGTTTTTATTTTGATACTATATAATTTTTTGGTGAAATACATATTTCACAACTAATTAAAAATGACTACAAATATATCTATTTTCTGTTGCAGTCATATAATAAATTTATTTTTTCGGATATTATAAAAATATCTCAAATATTTTGAAAATAAAATTCCCGAGTCACAAGTCGAAGAGGTTTAATGATAATGATTTGTTCTGATGGGGATTCTGACGATAGAAAAACTACGAATATTGTGCATAAAAAAAGTGTTTAATAATATTTAGATTAACTTTTTTAAATAATTTTTTATCTCATTTATTAAATTATAATTTTTATTTTATTCTGTCTTTGTAAATACTTTCTTTTCTATTATATCTTTTTTTGGTGCATATGCACGGCTATAACTAGTTAGGTAAATCGACACCACTAGAAAAATACTTTAAAACTACACAGGCACGAGAGCGCACAAGATTGGAGCACAGAGAACACAATTATCCTCAACGCGCCGCCGGCACGAAGAAGTTGGTTGGTGCACCTTCAAACCTCCAACGAGGTAAATTCCAACTTCCTAATTCTCTAATCCCGATGTTGCCCATATGACTAATCCAAACTTCCCTGTTAAATACAGTATATATTTTTTTGTATAATGCTGTGAGACTGTGACTTGAGAGGCTCTTATTGATTGTTGTTGAGCTAATGTCCGCGAGCTAAGGATTCCTTTCTTTTTCAACTCTATTATATCTTGTGATGGTCAAATGCTTTGCTGAATTTGTGAAATATGTGATGGGAATTTTTATAATTTTGAATCTGTATGAAATGAAATGTTTTGTACTGAATGCTTTTATTTGTGTTTGCAGATTATTAAAAATTTCAAAGAACTACGATCATACGACCCAGTTTTTTTATTAGTCTCATGGGAAATTAGAAATAATATCAGTTTTTGTCTCTGTGTACAAAAATGTCAGCGTGATTGCAGTTATCTCATCCCGATCTGTTTTGTGTCGATATCTATTCAATTTTCTTGCCCCACAAGTGACTTCGTGGCATAGTTCAGTCAAAAGGTTATGCAAGTCACAAGTTATCAATGATCAGCATTTCTTCCATTTATGTTTTGAAATGTTTCCGTGGTGAACTGATATATTGAATTGATCATTTAGCTCCGTGTAAGCCGCTTTGAGTTTTAATAAATATTGCTTTATCTGCACATATTTCCATCTGTTGCAAGCGTTGACACATCTGTTCTGTTATCACTCTGTAATTTTACTCTTTTCCTATTAGTTATTGGAGTTTGGTGGATATCATACAAAGGAACTGGTGGAGAAATGGATGCTGTGGTACACCCACATTGTGAATGGTCGGGTGGGGCAGAAGCAGTGCTAGCTCTTGAACCTAACTCATCAATCTCCATTGCTTATGACTCTTTATTCGGCCCTCACGATGACCTTATGCTTCTCGAACTTGATGAGAAGCTCCTACCAGAAGTCATGCACGAGAGGTGTGTACTTTATATATATATATATATATATATATATACATGTCTGTGTGTGTGTGTTAGTTTAATTTCCCTTTACTTTCTTGTTTTCATATTAAAATATATATATGTATATTATGTGTACGTGTTTTAGTGTAATTTCCCTTTTATTTCCTTCCCTCATTATTAACTGTTGGTTTCCATTGACAGAGTAGCTCTAAGAGGGCAGCCTGATGATGATGTCGTTCTATGTACTTCATCCAAGACCTATGGTGTTAAATTCGTGGGGACATCAAACTCCATGTTTCTCATCCCTAGTTCGGATAAAAAAGATGTTGATAAATGCAACACAGTTGCACATGTCATTAAACTCACCCCTGGTTGCATGGAGCTCACCGAGGTTGCCCCAAAGCTAGACGAACTCAAACTCATTCTCTCCGAAAACCCGTACAGTTATGGTGAAGAATCCAAAACTGAAAATGGCCTGTACAAATGGGCGGACCTTACTGACCGAATACGAGCTAGCGACGAGGAAATAAAATCGGGTCTTCAGTCCCTTTCGGCTGTTGAAATCAATGGGTACTGGCGAATTTTGAACGAAAATTACATGAATGGGATATTGAACATGCTTCTGCACAACATAATACTGAACGACTGGTCGATTGATGAGCTGGACGAAGGTGAAGTTGTGGGGGTGCTCGAAAAGGATGGGTTTCCAAGGAATGTGGCCAAGCATTGCTTACGAGTGTTTTGCAATATGGCAGGTAGGCTTGTAAACAAAGCGAATTTTTTTTATTCGAATTCGATATATGTGATTCGAATTTGAAATATTCGAATTCTAATTCGAATTCGAATAATGTTTTATATTCGAAAGTTAAACGAATCCGAATCCAAATTTGTAGATATTCTATTCGAAATTATCCAATCTTCGATTTGTTAACGATAATTATATACATTTTATAAATTATATATAGTATAAAATTTGTTTATTTTATATATCTATATATATATATATATATTTATGACATAAAAAGAAAAAATATCCCAAATTAATAATTTGTCCTAAAAACATCTCAAATTGGATAGGAATCGTTTGTTCGAATATTCTAAACGAATCGAATACGAATCAGAAAATGAGTTCGTTTACAAATCGAATACGAATTCGAATCCTCGAATATTTTAACGAATCCGAATCGAATATCTTAGTATTCGCTTTGATTTGATTCGTTTACAACCCTAATGGCAGGTGGTGAGGGGAGGTGGAAGCTGGAGAAGAGGGCCGTGTGCGCAGGCGTAGCTAGAGAGATCCTAAGGGAAGGGAAGATGAGAATGGAAGTGTTTATGGAGAGGTGGAGTCGGAAGCTTCCGGAAGGGATGGATGCAAGTTTTGAGGTTTTAGAAGGGGAAGTGCTGACGGAGAAGCTTGGGGTGGAAACTTGGGTTTATTGGTTCAGTAAGAGGTGTCTGCCGTCTGAACCTGCTGAGCGGTTTGCTGTGCTGTTTCGGGAGAGGCAAAAATGGGAGTGGAAAGACTTAGAGCCATATGTCCGGTTTGAGACTGCTACAATCCTCTTATATTGTATCAAAATTTGTGTTACTTTTTTTTTTTTTTGTTAAACTTTTCTGGAAATTGCATTTGCAGGGATCTAAGAGTGCCTGGACTTTCTTCGGAAGGTTTGCTCCTGAAATATACTCGAAGAAGTCAGGCAAGCATGGGGGCAGAACCCATTTTCAGTGCAAGATAGTGTTAGTTTCCGGAGGAAGATGATGAAATTTGGCTTCTTCCTTCCAGCAACACATCAAATTCGGGTACTGTTGCTCAGAGGCATCTGTTTGCAATATATGCTGATGATATTGTAATGGAACTAGTTTTACTACTTCACCCACACTTTGCCCCAGCAGTTGTGTATCCAAAATTTATATATTATGGATAACTTTGTGTTTTCCTATCGATAGATAGTGTTTTTGTTGTACGTGCTTGTGACTTGGTCATTCCGTAAATGAGATAATTGGTTGGTTCGCAGAAGCGAAAACATTAAGGAATTATACAACTTAATTATATTTAGATCAAACAAATATTGTGAAGTACAATTCCATATAGGACCATTTGATATTTTTCTTCATAGATTTGAATTTGGACTTTTTAGTTGGATTTGGTTCTCCTTTGGGCAACTTGAGCTTACTTCCATTAACTTAACATGGGGATTCGATGATTTGTTTGAAATAAAATGCTGGGACTTAACTTTGTTAGGAGATGACTTCTTGATGGCATTGATTATTTCATCTTCCTCCAAAATGGATTTAGACAATTGCAGGAGTCTTCATTTCAAACTTGAGTTGATTTGGGAATCAAATTATTAGTTGTCGAATAAAATGCTAGGAGTTAATTTGTTACAAGATGACTTCTTGGTGGCATTCATTATTTCATCTTCTTCCAAATTGGATGGATCTTTGCTCCTGGTGGAGTGACAGGCATCCCCTCTTCTAAACGCGCAACCGACGGCGCGTGACCACCAAACGGTAGCAGTCCCAATATAGAAATTGTAGGTTTCGCACTGGGAAGCACCGGAGGTCTCCTGTTCGTCCATGTCCCTCTGAACTCCTCACTCAAATTCCTTTGTGTGCCTTCTCTCTCAGCCATGTCAAAGTGATTGAAAACTGGGGAGAGAGCTCTTAATTCCTTCAAAAGTTGTGTTGGAGACCTCAAGTCACTATAGAACCGGCACAATGATAGCTCCGATCGTCCCTGAGCCGCTGAGACCTGCAAAAGTATCGGGCGGGGTTCTCAGCGTTAGCACTCTGATGCTTAAGTCAGTATCCAGAGATGAGATATCTAAGCCTTGTATTCAGAAAGCTACAATAGTGTATGCAAAGTGTAGACAAAGATTTATAGTTGTACCTTACTCCCCTTTTGTAGGGAAATACCTGCCGCCCGAGTTTCCCATGGTCAGCCTGCCCGACTGCTTGGTTTTAATCATATCCTCATCCTAATCATACTTGAGTAATCATTAGATTCCATCTTATCCATTCATTAGGTGTTTGAGTCAGATGTCTGCCTAATTATGGTTATTACATTCAATTCTCAGCAAGTCGCCCTTATCAGGATCATAACCCATCGAGCTACCTTGTCGTAGTCTTCAGATTGCAATGATCTCGTTTGGATGTCCTCGAGTAATCTCCTACTCCACAGATCGCTTCCATTAGGACCTCGACCTGTTGCGAACTCTTCTGTATCTCCTCGCGACTTATCCATTTCACCAAGTCTCTTCTCGACCTAATTACACTTGGGCTTCGGTTCACCAACAGGGTCATATCAAATCTACACCAAGGATTCTGAAGTCTTAAAAAGGCTTTAAAAATCTCAAACGAATACTATCAAATCTACACCAAAAATTCTAAGTCTTAGTATGTATTTAGAAATCTCAAACGAATAGTGTATGATTCAAATCCTGCCAAAATTGGATTGTCACTTCTTGGTAAGTATTTGAGTAGATATATAACTGGTAGAAAGATTGTTTAAATCTTTAGAGCATCCACAATGGTTTTGGTTCAATCTAAAAATTTATATAGGAAGTAGACTTGGTCTAAAATAATATATTCTCCAGTGCAAGTGTATGTAGACTGGGTCCTGCTGATGTGGCAGCTAAAAAATGAGATCAAATCTACCCTTAAGTCTATTTTAGACCCAAGTAGAGACCTAGTCTCTTTGAATTGAAGTGAAATTTGTTAATTTTACATATTTTTGTCCATGTCATCCAAAACTTGAGTTTATTACATGCCACATAGACAAAACTAGATTCAATGCATTGTAAATGCTCTATAACTAAGATAGGTCTAATTACCATTTGACCAATTAAGTGTCCGAATTTTAAGGATACTTTAGTCTGACCATATTTTTATAGAAACCATTCACTCTCAGAGTAGTAGTAGATATAATAGATTATCAATGGTTTTGCTGGTGACATTAAGAACGTAGGAGGTGAAAATGATATTGGTGAACAAAACTAGTAATACATCAAACGGATATGGTTTAATTTTCTCAAGCCAAAAGTGACACACTCTTGTCTGCTGTGTACATAACAGTTTTCCTCACTAGGATATATGGTGGGTGCCTAATTTGAGTGATGATTGATTAATCCTACATCGTGCGACTTCAAAATTGAATTGGACAAAAGTGGAAAAGTGATTCAGAAGTGGCCTTTAAATACTTCTGCCTCAAACACCCACTTTTACAACACCACTAAGTGGTAGTTTTACAAGAGAGTAGTAATTGTAAAATCTGCATTCATGAAAGGAAAACAAAAACAAGAAAATAATGATAAT